GCAAAAAACGTTGCAATCAAAATCATTGATACTCGGTGAGCAGCTCCTCAGTATTTTTCTCTTTCTTTATTTTGAAAACTTTTTTTGAAAGAGTGTAATAAATGTTCTGGGAAGAGGCAGAACGTTTATCACATCCTGTAAATCCTAAATCCTTTTCTTCTGTTAGAGATTTTCCTTAATTTTGATACTTTTCAAGACTTTTTGACAATTTTCGAAAGTATGACGATTTTTTATACGTGAGGCGTTGTTGCGACGGCCCGCTACAAGTCGGTTCTGAGTAGTGGTGGAGAAAGCAGCAGTACGTGAAGAATCGATTCTGAGTAGCCGGTTCCTGGAAGAGTCGTTTCTGAGTTGCGGGAGTTTAAAGCGGTACCACGAGCAATCCTTTCTCGTTGCGTATATTTGCCTGGAGGCATGATCTCTCCTGCTGCAACCAAATATGAAAAAAAAACTAAAACTCAAGGAAACTCACTAGCGCTTTCTCATCGACGGGATGGCGTTCGGTTCTTTTGTAACAAAATTTTTGCTTTTTCTTTCGATTTATAAAAATTATCTCTTTTTCTCGTCTTGTGATAAACATGTTCAGGTCAAAATCCGATTACATCGTTCGTTTTCTACCACGCGAATTGAAAATTGTGCCAACGCTTAATCACAACAATGTTGTTAAAGTTTACGATGCTAGTTTTTTGTGTTTTTTAACAAAAAATTACGATGTGTGGGTCAAGTCTGTGCATGCCTTCATGTTTTCACGAAGCTAAAAATGAAGAAATATCCAGGAAGATTAAGACAAATGTCCAGGAAGATTAAGACTCATTATTTCGATAATAAGCTTATTTCGATAATGAGTCTTAATCTTCCTGGACATTTGTTCTATCATTGTCGATTCATTCCTCGCAGTTAAGAAAGGCGATCAAGCTGGCGAAGTTCCATCAGATTCTCAGCTTGGCGCTGGTAGAATAGCTAAGAAAGGGCCTCGTTCCCTATCTTTTAGCTGGTGAGGTGCAGAAATTTGCAGTGGATTTTTTTCAATGTCAATTTTCTCATTAGCCGTCGAGGGCGGGAAAAATGCTGTTTCCTTGTTTTCTCGTAAACTAATCCAGGACATCAAGGAAGAATATCAGACAGAACTTAAAGCCAGCAGAAACTGTCTCTGAGTTCCGACAAGCAGTTGGGAGAAAGTATGCAAAAAGCAAGAAATTAAATGCAGGCTTTTATCAAATTGATCACAGTGAAGTGTTGGGGCGATCAAGAAATTACAATTGTGTCTTTTTCTTTGTCCAAGAAGCTTAGCCCAAAATAAAAAATTACTTCTGCTCGCCATCAGCTTGCTTCTAAGTAACCCGCGAAAGACAGAGCCAAAGGCAGGTTTATTGCAGAATGATAGTTGTGACAATTGCTATTCTCGAAATGCTTTAGATTATCGCCATCCCTCA